GAGATCCTGCCTTGATGCTTTTAAACAGTTGACACGTGGATAGCATGAAAGCTCCAGTTCTCAAGAAGAGTTATTCATCTGCACCAGTCTGACTGCTATGCTATGCATATTCATTGATGAGTATAGTTAGAAATCAGCTGGAAGTCATAATTAAGACAAGCCAGCATTGCTAGCAGCAAATTATACATGTACTTTAGATCCAATTACACTGTAATGACTGAGTGACAAAGAGGTATCGGCAGCTAAAACTGCATCAAGTGGCTTTCTTCAGGCAGAGCCAAAGGCACAGGGTAAAATTAGAAGATCCCATAACATTTAACTTCTCATAACTAACAGGGAGGAGAAAAAAATAAAAATCACACACACACACACAAAACCACATCAAAAAACAGCACCAAAATTTCTATCTAAAAGTTTTATGAAACATTTTAAGCACAAAGAAGAGAGGTGATTTCAAAAGCCAGCTACTTTTTGAAACCTAGGGCTCCAACTTCCCTTGAACAGAAGAAACTCTGGGATCACCAAAGAGCCTGTCTAGAGCTAAGGTGACCTGCTAACATCCAGCTCTAGGGACAGGGGTGCACCATAAAGGAAGAGATGGCATTTCCCTTTCAAAGGAGATGTAGGTGAATTCCTGGGTCTGAAAAAGGCTTGTAGAAAAGCTTAGCAGTGGGAACATTTTGTAGCCTGAGTTAGGAGCAGAGAATGAGCTACAGCAGCATAAAACTGACTATAGCCGCAGCATATTTATAACCATGTTGGATCATCACCAATATAATATTTAGAAAAATATCAAAGCTCTGATATACATCACAACAGCACAGAGACTTCCTGTTACAGGGAATATGAAGAGAATCCACATTCGCTCTAGATAAAGTTAATCCTTTGTTGGAACAGGTGTTTTATCCATTTGGATCTTTGCACTTCCAGGAAAAATTATTTCAGAAGTTACTTTGGATAAAAAAGAAACAAGAAAGCAGATGTAAACAGAAATTGTGTAAATTGTTTACATGTTCCCCAAGAGTTCCTTGTCAAAAATATAATAGAAAACAAATTAAACACAGACTAAGACACAACAAAATTCTACAGGCTTTTGAAGGCAACAAAAAAAACTCCATCAGTTTGCCAAGTCTCAACAAATCCCCAGAGGTGTTTAAGGCATGGATGATTTTCTCAGTTACTCCAGACACCATCAGGAAGGAATGGTTCAAAGAATGCAGGGGGATGTTCAAGGGGTAAAAGAAAAATCACAAGTGATGTCTTCTACAGAAAAGGCACAGGGATATCTCGATCTGTCCCTTTGACAGTACCAGCCTTCCATGAGACTTACCCTGCCAGGGGAAGAGCCAGGCTAAAAGGGACTCCACAGCACCTTAGGCAGGACACAAACTGGCATGGCCACAAGTATACATTCTTGGGATGGTTGTCCTGTAGAAGAGTCTCCAGCCTTGGGCAGCTACCCTCTAACGAGATAGGGGTCATCACACATTGTCATCCTGCACTTCCCCCTGACCACTCCTCCCTGGGTTCAAATGCCAGACTTTGTACTTTGCATCCTTTGCAGACATAAATACAAGTTTTATATTGGATTTCAGTATGTTTGTTACCTGCTCCATGCTCTGCTGTCCAAGCTATCTGTGGTCTGCTGGTCATTAAATGCAGTATTTGATAGGTACATTGAAAAAATTAAGTATCTCCGTTTCTCAAAGACTTATGCTAATTAAAATCTGTTTGGATCCTGATATATGGCTAATTTTTAAGTCAGAAATCCTGGAGGGTACTAAACATAATGGGAAATCCTTTTTATCTTGTTACATCAACACAATTAAGCACCTTGTGGATACAGGTAACTACTACCTTCTTCTGTAGAAAAATATTTGAAAACTATTCTTAAGCTGAAGCCTGATTTTCCTGTGAAATCAAAAAAAGCAGGATCATACACCTTCAGACATAGAGTTATATTTATATACATATAGTAAAAGGCACATGAACCTCTGGCAAGCAAAATTTTTTGGTTTGTTTTTCATTCAGATTGAAAAATACAGAAGATGTATTGTGGTCAAAAGAAGCCTCTATTGCAATTTGAATCGAAAATAAGTAATTGTTATGGGGCTGTAATTGTGATGCTCTAGATTAGGAGATGCAAAGGCCTGTCAGCCCATTCAGAGTCTTCAAAGTTCTGAATGGTTTCTCTGTGTTACACTAAACCAGTATCTGCTACTGACGTAAGACGTTCATTTCTCTTGACTTTAGTAACACTTTTACCTATAACCCAGAAAAGGAAGAAATTTAAAGAAAAAAAAAACCAGCAATAACCACCTAAACAAAGAGAAAGGTATCTTTTGGCACTTCCAGTTGATATAAAAGTGCAAAAGGCAAGAAAAAGAAGAAACACTGAAATTCTCAACAGAAATAGTCTCATTGGCCTGACCACCTCAGGCCCTAATAAGAAAAAGTATATATAAAGTCTATTCTAGAAGAATTTTCTCTATGACTCAGAAAAGAAATACTTAACAATCTTATAAGAGAACTTCATGCTTTCAAAAAAATATTTTTCCTCAATTTCTGAAAATATGCCTTACTTTCAAGTGTAATAAAAATCCTTAATAATAATCCGACTTTCATAATAGAATGGAAACCCAATTACATTATTTTGTACTGTACTTGCATGTGCTAATGAAACTAAACCTGAAATTAAAATCCCCATGCACCTTCAAAAAACCCAATTTTTATTTTGCATATAATTTTTTTCCTTCCTAAATTATACAACTTCACAATCAACAAGTCCTAGGATTTCCCTTGGGATAAATTAACCCTTTACATGAACTAAAGCTAGTAAAAATATGATCACTGAATCAGGCTTCAGAAACATTTCCAAACCTTAAAGATCACGATGGGGAAAAAAAGCAACATTCAGTTTTATTTATGAAGCCCATTTATTTCTACAAGTTAATACTGCCTATAATTAAACTTTCAAGTAATGTGGCACAACAGGAGTGAATACATGGGAATGAAACAGAGTTAAAAAGTCACATCCACTGTCGCTCTGGAAGTGGTTTTGCTCTGGATCCCATGCACTTTGCATTCATTAGGGAAGGAATGGGATAGGTGCATTCCTGCAAGGTACCAGACAGTTTATTTTTGTCAGAGAGAAGAAGAGTTTGTGTACTTTGAAAATGCTCCATGATGACAGAGGCCAAACCCCAATGAAAGGGGATGGCAGAAGATGGCCTCAAGGCAGAATTGTGACCCAAATATAAGTACTAAATAAACACATCCACTGTCAACACAAAAAAAATCTCTCAAAAAGTTTGCCTAAAAAAATTCAAATAACACTAAATTATTCTAAACAGAAAACATTTAAAGAAAAATAATTTCCAAAATGCTTTCTGTGTCTTAAATTACTGCTCTTCTCCATAAGCAGTTACTTGCATTTCCCTACTTTTGTGAAATTCCACCAGAGATACAAATCAAAAAACATGTATACATTTAAGACACATTACTGTACCTTTAAAGCCTTTAAAGCAGTAAATATTCTGGATATATACAACACATATACAATACACAGACTCCTTTTACTGTAGTGTTCTGGTTACTAGCTGTGCTTTTCTCCCAATTTAGGAAGTTAAATGTTGCTTAGTTCCATAAGAATTTTCATGAAACGTGACTTACTGAAAGCAGACAGCTCAAATAGTAGTGCAGTCAGTAGTTAGGTGTTCTTCACAGGGTGATAATAAAACTTAACCTTAAGGCTGGGTAGTCATTAAGAATACAAAACTCAATTTCTAAGTATTAAAAAACTTCTTTAACTATACAATTATATTTTTAAAAGGGCAAAATTTCAGCTCATATTTGGGCCAGAACTCAGCTCAAAAATAGTTCTGGAGATGAACTTAATTTTATTTTATCAATTTTGAAGGTCTTTCTCTGTTTCTGCTGAGATAAAACCCATGAGAAGACAGGAAAAACACATGTTCCTCAGTGTTCCAAAGCCCTGTTAACTGGAGTGTGCTTGAATGAAAAGCCCACAGATCAGGCACACATCCTATTCGAACCAGCAAATCTGCTGTTACCTGTCTTATACCTTATTCATAAAAAAGTACTTGCATTTATTGTCATGTCTCTACCACGTTCCCACTAACTGACATCTATTTCTGCCCGCCAATGCTGATAATAAAACTTTAAAATCAGATTTGCCTGACTGATAACTGCAGAACCATATGCTTCCAGACAGAAAATATTCATATAGCAGTGGAGGTGACATTCAAATATTTTGACACATTTGAAGGTCATTGCTCAACTTGCTGAATTTTGTGTGTGTGGGTACACAAACACTGGTAAAACAATTCTAGCCTGGTAAAAAATTTAACATGCATAAAATTTAACCTGCATAAAATTCCCATGCTAAAATCTTTCTGCCCCACTGGCAGAATTATTAAGTCTCAAAACATGTTTTTGTTGGCTACAGTATTAGAACTCTGGAATGAAGAAACCTTGAGTTTGCCATCACAAAGGTCTGGAGAGTGGTGCTTCTGCATCAGTGTCCTGGGACTTCCAGCAGGTCAAAAGTAGTCACATCAGGCTGCCAAAGACATTGATGGGAAGAATGTAGAATGTGAAACTCAGCAGCTTTATCTCATCCTTGCCCTGGTGAGATTTGAGAACTCCAGGGACAGAAAGCAAGGTACATTCTTCACAGTTCACCCAGCTATTATACATTACTTGAACCTATCTTCAGTGACAAGGAAAACAAATGCAGTTTGTTAAAATAAGACACTGTATCAAAAGAAATAGTAAAGAGTTCCCTCATAACACAAGTACTTGCTTTCTATATATACATAACTGTGTTAAAAAAAAATTTTGCAACAGCATTATAAAAGACAATTCTGGTAAGTGACTTGTTCCTCCAGTTTGCAGCATGTTAGGATGGGGAGTAAGTCTCCCTACTCTTTTTATTTCAGGTAGAAATGAAAGACCAAGCCAAAAGCTGTACATGATGATCATGATTTCTGATCTTCCTCTGCTGGGATGACTTCCAAGAGGATTTGCAATGTTATGGTTACCCTGCCTGCAAAGATAAAAGCATATACATGGTAAAATTTTGTAGGAGAGATGAAGAAGGTGACACAGTCAGGAAAATTATCTTAGCTTCTATACAGGCTACTTGCACATAGACTTCACACAACACACAGACTTCATATATATCACATATACATATGTAATTTAAACTTAAAATTTTATTCCTTTTAACTGTTTCCTGTGCCTCTGATCCAAGGCTATGCATACACAGTAATAATGGAAGGGCATGGCTGTATAATCTTACTCAATAAAAGTCTGCATGCTTTTAAAGGCTATCTTAAAAACCGACTACTCTGCATTACTGCTTAGCTTTAATCAACATGTTATGTTGAAATAAAAGTCTGGAAGAATTCAAATAAATTAATTTATCTGTGCCAAGACCTGCCTAAGCAAAAAAGAAAAAAAAAAAAAAAA